GTTCATTTTGTGTCCCTGTGTGATCATGTTGTGTCCCTGTGTGTTTATTTTGTGTCCCTGTGTGATCATGTTGTGTCCCTGTGTGTTCATTTTGTGTCCCTGTGTGATCATGTTGTGTCCCCCTGTGGTGGTATTTCTTCCATTCATTGATTTGTGCTCATTTGTGTTTATTTTGTGTCCCTGTTTGATCATGTTGTGTCCCTGTGTGTTTATTTTGTGTCCCTGTGTGATCATGTTGTGTCCCTGTGTGTTCATTTTGTGTCCCTGTGTGATCATGTTGTGTCCCCCTGTGGTGGTATTTCTTCCATTCATTGATTTGTGCTCATTTGTGTTTATTTTGTGTCCCTGTTTGATCATGTTGTGTCCCTGTGTGTTTATTTTGTGTCCCTGTGTGATCATGTTGTGTCCCTGTGTGTTCATTTTGTGTCCCTGTGTGATCATGTTGTGTCCCCCTGTGGTGGTATTTCTTCCATTCATTGATTTGTGCTCATTTGTGTTTATTTTGTGTCCCTGTTTGATCATGTTGTGTCCCTGTGTGTTTATTTTGTGTCCCTGTGTGATCATGTTGTGTCCCTGTGTGTTCATTTTGTGTCCCTGTGTGATCATGTTGTGTCCCCCTGTGGTGGTATTTCTTCCATTCATTGATTTGTGCTCATTTGTGTTCATTTTGTGTCCCTCTGTGGCCATGTTGTGTCCCTTAATGTTTTGGTGTTTTTTTTTTTTGCTTCTGTCCATTCTTTTGTGCCCTTTTGTGTTCATTGTGTGTCCCTGTGCATTTGTTTTGTGTCCCTGTGTGTTTGTTTTGTGTCCCTGTGTGGTGATTTTTCATCCCTCCATGATCATTTTGTGTCCTTTCGTTTTCTTTTTTTTGTTCCCATCCATTATTTTGTGCTCCTTTGTGTTCATTTTGTGTCCCTGTGTATTCATTGTGTCTCTTTGTGGTAATTTTGTGTCCCTTCATGCTTGTTTTGCTTCTGTCCATTGTTTTGTGCCCATTTGTGTTCATTGTGTCCCTATGCGTTTGTTTTGTGTCCCTGTGTGATCATTTGTTGTCCCTCCATGATCATTTTGTGTCCTTTTGTGTCTTTTTGTTCCCGTCCATTGTTTTGTCAATCAATCAATCAATCAATTTTATTTATAAAGCCCAATATCACAAATCACAATTTGCCTCACAGGGCTTTACAGCATACGACATCCCTCTGTCCTTATGACCCTCACAGCTGAAAAAAAAACGGTTAGAAACCTCAGGAAGAGCAACTGAGGAGGGATCCCTCTTCCAGGACGGACAGACGTGCAATAGATGTCGTACAGAACAGATCAACATAATAAATTAACAGTAATCCATATGACACAATGAGAGAGAGAGAGAGACAGAGAGAGAGAGATGCAGGTAATGACAGTAGCTTACAACAACATTAATGAAAGTAATAATATTATAGTTATAGTTCTGGCTACTGTGGTACAATATGTTGAAAGTATGTATTAATATCTGTCAGTATACTTGTGTGACAATAGTCATATGTGTATAATAACAGTAGAAGTATGACTAATGACTAATGATGGCAGCAGCAGCAGGAGGCATCTGGCAGGACCACGGCAGCAGCACAACCACACACGTCACGCTGTCCAGGCACCGCTGTGATATGAGTTAATCTGAGAGACAGTGGAGCACAAAGGCTCCGGAGAAGAAGCCGAGTTAGTGACATCCAGAATGGCCGAGTTAGCAAGATGCAGTAATAGAATACGAGTGAGAGAGAGAGAAGGAGAGAGGGTGCCCGGTGTATTATAGGGGGGTCCTCCGGCAGACTAGGCCTAAGTCAGCCTAACTAGGGGCTGGTACAGGGCAAGCCTGAGCCAGCCCTAACTATAAGCTTTATCAAAGAGGAAAGTCTTAAGTCTAGTCTTAAATGTGGAGACGGTGTCTGCCTCCCGGACCGTAACAGGAAGATGATTCCACAGGAGAGGAGCCTGATAGCTGAAGGCTCTGGCTCCTGATCTACTTTTGGAGACTTTAGGGACCACGAGTAACCCTGCGTTCTCAGAGCGCAGTGTTCTGGTGGGATAATATGGCACTATGAGCTCTCTAAGATATGACGGAGCTTGACCATTTAGAGCTTTATAAGTTAACAGTAGGATTTTAAATTCAATTCTGGATTTTACAGGGAGCCAGTGCAGAGAAGCTAAAACAGGAGAAATATGATCTCGTTTCTTAGTTCCTGTTAGTACACGTGCTGCTGCATTCTGAATTAGCTGGAGAGTTTTTAAGGACTTACTAGAGCTACCTGATAATAGAGAGTTACAGTAATCCAGCCTTGAGGTAACAAAAGCGTGGACCAATTTTTCTGCATCTTTTCGGGTCAGGATAGGCCTAATTTCCGCAATATTACGCAGATGAAAAAATGCAGTCCGTGAGGTTTGTTTTAAATGAGAATTAAAAGACAAATCTTGATCAAATGTTACTCCGTGCTCATTTGTACTCATTTTGTGTCCCTCTGTGATCATTTTGTGTCCCTCTGTGATGGTATTACTTCTGCCCATTGTTTTGTGCTCATTTGTGAGTCGTTGCACAAGTGAAAACTGTTTTGGTAATAAATCTGATTCTGAAAATAATTTCTTTACATTTAATGTTTGTTGCAGATTTAATTTAACAACTCGACGTGTTTGTTCGAGATTTTACTGACTTCAACTTTTTGTTTCGTTCCACTGAACTTTTGAAAGTCATCATTAAAGCTGAGCTCAGCACTGATCTGAGAGCAGCTGAGGCTGTTCACCTGCACCTCCTCTCTGTGGCCGCAAGGTGGCGCCATCATACCGCTGCTGCACACAGATGCTGCCTTCCAGTGCTGTTGGAAATTAGATAACTGGAGGAAAAATGAGACAAAATAACGTTTAGATAAATTAAAAAAAAAAAAAAAATTAAAAAGCCCTTAAAGAGCGAGAAAGGGAAACAAAAAAAAAGTAAAATATACTGAGAGCCAAAACAAATACATGAATAAAAGTTACAGTGCAGTGTTAAAAAAAAATATTTATGTATTCTTTACACTCAAAATTATCTTAAAATATGCTTAAATTTAACTACAAATATTAAATATTTCATAAAGTAATAAAGCATTTAGTGAAGATGCATTAACAATACGTATTTATCGTAAAGTCTGAGCTCCCGATACTTAAAACTGTGACTTTAAGTAAAGTTTGTGTAACAATTATGCAGACGTTTACACACTATTGGGAAGTTATCGACAAATTTCATTATGACATGTTGTTCTGCCTCCGCGTATGCAACAGCTGTGAACAGAGATATTATGTCTTCAGGTTGTCCGTCCATCTGTCTGTCCCATTCTGGTGAAAGAGGTGTCTCAACAACACCTTGAGGGAAGTTCTTCAAATTTGGCACAAACATCCACTTGGACTCAAGGATGAACTGATACAATTTAGGTGGTCAAAGGAGATCAAGGTAACTTTGACCTTGTGTCTCTCATCCTTTGAATGTGATATCTAAAGTACAACTAAAGGAATGTCTTCAATTTTGGCACAAATGTCCACTTGGACTAAAGGACTAATTAGATTTTGGTGGTCAAAGATCAAGGTCACTTTGAGCTTGCGTCCATCTCCTTCTCGTTAATGTGATATCTAAAGAACAACTTGAACAAATGTAGCACAAACGTCCACATAGATTTGAGGATGCACTGATCAGAAGCTTGCGTCTGTCTCATTCTTGTGGACGCAATATCCCGAATACAACTTGACAGAATTTTCTTCAGATTCAGCACAAATGGCCACTTGGACTAAATGAGGAATTGACTATAATTTTGAGGTCAAAGGTCAGAAATCAAGGCCACTGTGAGCTTGCGTCCATCTCCGTCTTGTGAACGTGATATCTAAAGCACAACTTAGGGAATTTCTTCAAATTCGGCACAAGTGTCCACTTAGATTTAAGGATGAACTTTGGTGGTCAAAGTTTAAAGATGGAGGTCACAGTAAGCTTGCGTCTGCCTCATTCTCGTGAACGCAATATCCCAAGTACAACTTGACAGAATTTCTTCAAATTCAGCACAAACAGCCACTCGGTCTAAAGAATGAATTAACTGAAGCGTCAAATGCTAAGGTAACTGTGAGCTCGTGTCTGTCTCCTTCTTTTGAACGTGATATCTAAAGTACAACTTGAGGAAATTTTCTTAAAATCTTAAATGCAGATGTTCACATGGACTCAAGGATGAACTGATTAGATTTTGGTGGTCAAAGGTCAAAGGCCAAAGTAACTGTGAGCTTGCATCCATCTCATTCTCATGAACGCAATATCCCAAGTACAACTTGAAGGGATTTCCTCAAATTTGGCACAAACATCCACTTGGACTCAAGGATTAACTGATTAGAATTTGGTGGTCAAAGATCAAGGTCACTGTGACCTTGTGACCTTGACCTTATTCTTGTGAATTTGATATCTCAACTTCACCAAGAGGGAATTTCCTCAAGTTCGGCACAAACATCCACTTCGACTGAATGATGAATTCATTACAATTTGGTGGTCAAAGGTCAAAAATCAAGTTCACTGTAAGCTTGCGTCTATCTCATTCTTGAGAATGCAATACCCCAAGTAGAACTTGAGGGAATATCTTCAGATTTGGCACAAATGTCCACTTGGACCCAAGGATTAACTGATTAGATTTTCTTGGTTAAAGGTCGAAGGTTACTGTGACCTCACAACACGTTTTTGGCCTCTGTGGTCAGGTTGTGTCCCTGTATAATCATTTTGTGTCCCTCCGTGATTGTTTTGCTTCTTTCAATTGTTTTGTGTCCCTTTGTGCTCATTTTGTGTCCCATTGAGGTGGTTTAGCTTCCGACCATTTGTTACGCATGTCTCTGTGGTTGTTGTGTCTCATCCTGATTGTGCGATCATTTTTCACTCTATAATCTCTGAGCTCTTAGGTTTTTCCGGGTCCGTGAACGCAGCACAGGCGGAACTCTTCATGAGTCAGTTTTTTTCCTCAGCAGCAGTTTGTTGCGTTTGAGTCTCGGGGTGGAGAAGTGAGGAACAAACTGTCAGATCATCCCACTCAACACTTCTCTCTGATCACTGTGCTGAGATCGATCAGAGCTGATCAGAGCTGATCGATGGATTAGAGGAGCAGCTGCTGCAGAGGTGAGTGATGCCTTTAAAAGCTGTCTGTCCGCATCGAGTCTGAAACAAAGTGCAGCTGCTGAGGCGCGTTTTTCTGCAGCTGCACGACTGTTTGTCGGTGTGAAAGCGAACAGCTGTCCGACCTGAGCAGAACAAACACACTGTATTTAACAGAAGAACCACAGAAGAAGAAGTTTACAGAAGCAGATTAATGATCCTCTGAGGCTGAAGCTGAAATAATTCACCTGGTGTTTGAGTGGTTTTGGTCACGTGCAGGTACAGATGATGTTACGGTGGATTTTACTGATTTAGACTCGTTTCAAGAAAAGTTGATTTTCTGGTTCCGGCTGTTTGAGATCAGAGGACAGTGAACGCCTCCTCAGTTTGTTCTTCGGATTTAAACATGATGTTCTTTTGTCAAACATTGCAATGTGTAAATATTATATGAAAGCATCAACATATCAACATATCATCACATGACAAATATCATGTAACATGATTATTTTAAAGAGATGAGAGGTAAAAAGTAAAACACCTAGATATTTGGACTCGTTTAAGATCTCAATTGTTACTGACTGTAGGGTGCTTCAACCCTAAATATGATCATTTTGTGCCCCTTACGGGTGTTTTGCTCTGTCCATTGTTTTGCGTCTTGGTCATGTTGTGTCCCTCTGTGTTCATTTTGTGTCCCTCTGTGGTCATTTTGTGTCCCTCTGTGTTCATTTTGCGTCCCTCTCTGGTCATGTTGTGTCCCTGCATGGTTGTTTTGCATCTGTCCATTGTTTTGTGCCCTTTTAAGTTCATTTTGTGTCCCTATGCGACCATTTCAGTGTCCCTTTGTGAGTTGTAAATTCTAAAAATAATTTCTTTGTGTTATGTTTGTAGAGTTTTAGATCTGAATTGATATTTAATTTTGAGTCCTTGAACACTAACACACACACACACACACACACACACACACACACATGTTTATATTATCTTGAACTAAAGTTCCTGAAATGCACAACTTGAACTTGACTATTTAAACTCTGAGACGAATGAACTCAGTTTTCAAAGTAAAACGTTTCAGTGTTATTTAACTCTGAGAGTCAGCTGCTGCCAAGATTTTAATCATCCTGGTAATTATTTGCTTCCGTTGACGTGACGGATAACGGTCTGTGTTACGTCCTCCTGCCCTCAACCAGCTGTGACACACTGGTACAACCCTCCAGCACAGTCAGGAGCTGATGGGTGGTCGACTTGATGTCATGATACACGGACGACTGAACAAGTCGGCCGACTCGGGGCCCTGCACCAAAACCTCTGTCTGAAGTCACTGTTAAAATCTGTAGTTGGGATTTCTAAGCACAGAGAAATCCACTGGTAACAGGCGATAGACTCCTTTCACATAGAGCGCTGCAGGGATGATGTTTCTCTATAGGCCGACCCTGAAGTTGGCGTCGCCTGGTTCCCCTGACACAAAGCCAACTGGAATTTTCCCTTGGATTTTGGATTGTTGCAGAAAATAAGCTCTTAATGATACTCACATGTTTTATTCAGCAAGATAATCTTCACTAACACCAGTGTCATGATTTCTGAAGCCTAAATGCAGTCTCCAGAGGTCATGAGCTAACATTAGGCTATAAACAGACTACACCAGAGTTATAAAAAAGAAGTAACCACGGAAACATTGTCACTGGCCTTCATGCTGCTCTCTGCTGTTTACTAACCTGTTTTCAGGTAAGTCTGTGGATATTCTCATTTATCCAGGTCAATTCCATTCTGGCAACAATTAAATCTTAGGCAACTGGACTTTGATTTTGTCTAGAAGACGTTTCGCCTCTTATCCAAGCGGCTTCATCAGTTCTCAACGCATCAGTCTGACTAGTCCTCACTAGTCTGACAAACAGTGGAGTAAGACTCAGGTTTTTAACCTCTGTGGAGGTGTACACCCACCTCCCTCATAAGACAATACTTCGTTAGTGGAGTTTCACTGGACCATTGTTTGGGTCAGGTGAGTCACACTAGTGAACGACGGTCGAAAGGAAAGGGTAGAGCAAAAGGCACTGAACTCTTACAAGGGTACATCACCAAGCCACTGGTTCAGATATGTGGATGACACATGGGTGAAGATCAAATCCGAAGAACTGGAGGCTTTTACTGAGCACATCAACTCAGTGGACAAGAACATCAAGTTCACTAGAGAAGATGTTAATGATAACCACCTACCTTTCTTAGACTGTGATGTACACTTGGATGAGAACAGGAGCCTCCACATTGGGGTATACAGGAAACCCACACACACAGACCAATATCTTCTTTTCGACTCACACCACCCTCTGGAGCACAAACTGGGAGTTATCAGAACCTTACAGCACAGGGCTGATAATGTACCAACCACCACTCAGGCAAAGGTACAGGAGTACAAACATTTGAGGAGAGCGTTGGAAACTTGTGGCTATCCTAGTTGGACGTTTAACAGAACAAAACGATCCAACAAGAACAATAACTCAGAGAGGGCTGAGGAAGGAAACAAGCGCAGGAACATTGTCATACCCTGTGTGTCCGGGGTGTCTGAGAAACTCAGGAGAATTTTCAACCAACACCAAATTCCTGTGTGTTTCAAACCAAGTAACACACTCAGGCAAAAACTGGTACACCCCAAAGACAGGGTACCACACACTCAAAAAAGCAACTTGGTATATGCTGTCCAATGCAGTGAGGAATGCAAGGACTCGTACATTAGTGAAACCAAACAACCATTAAACAAGCGCATGGCTCAACACAGAAGGGCAAACTCCTCAGGTCCAGTTTCTGCTGTTTATTTACATCTAAAGGAGAAGGCTCACTCCTTTGAGGACAGCAATGTGAAAATCTTGGACAGAGAGGACAGATGGTTCGAAAGAGGGGTGAAAGAATCCATCTACGTTAAAATAGAGAAACCGTCTCTAAACAGGGGAGGTGGCCTGAGACACCAGCTATCCCCCATTTACAATACGGCCCTTGCTGCTGTACCTAAGAGATTGAACAACAAAGACTGCCCGAAACTAACCTCAAGTGGCTCAAAGAAACACAACGACAGTCATTCACTGGTAACCACACATCATGCCTAACGACTGTTGCTCACCAGTGGCCCCACCCACTCCTAACGACCGTCGTTCACTAGTGTGACTCACCTGACCCAAACAATGGTCCAGTGAAACTCCACTAACTAAGTATTGTCTTATGAGGGTGGTGGGTGTACACCTCCTCAGAGGTTAAAAACCTGAGTCTTACTCCACTGTTTGTCAGACTAGTGAGGACTAGTCAGACTGATGCGTTGAGAACTGATGAAGCCGCTTGGATAAGAGGCGAAACGTCTTCTAGACAAAATCAAAGTCCAGTTGCCTACGATTTAATTGTTGCCAGAATGTTTTCAGGTACTCGTCTGCTGCAGAGAGCTGGACACGGCTCTGGTCCTCTGGCAATAAGACAAGGAATCTATCGCCTGTTTTCAGAGGGGGTTCCTGCATTTAAAAAACCTGCATACACACTAATTTATTTATTAATTTTAGAACGTATTTGTTAATTATTTAGTAATTAACAGAGAACAAAACAACCTAAAAGACACAAAGAAACATACAACAACTTTTATGAGACTCGAAACAACCACAAAGATACAAATCAACGACAAAGAGACGCGGCTGTGTTGTTAGTCGGACCAGTTTGTTTGTGTCACTGGCTCCCAGCAGCCTGCAGCAGCCTGGTGAAAGATGTAAAATATGTTGCTACAAACGTTAAAAGACTTCAGTCCTGTTGGAAAATAAAATCTGCTCCGTCTCTTAGACTGATCTAATCAGGTCAGTGACAGTGACTCGTTACAGACACAGTGAACAATGTCTCCTGCTCATGGAACGAGTCACATGATGCAGACGGGATGATTTTTAATTCATAAATGTGACTTTTATTTTGAAATGTTTCTTCCTCTCTTTCCACAGACATGGAGGGTGTGTGTGTGTGGCAGGTGTATGTGTGCATCTTGAGTGTGTGTGTCGGGGCTCACAGTTCATTGGACAGAAGTGACCAGGCCCACCTGGACCATCATCATCATCATCATCATCATCATCTAGTCTCTAATGGCAACACAGCCTCAGGTAGGAAACAAAGGTTACAGTGTTGTAACCCTGGTTCTATAAGCACAGGCTCCGCCCTCTACTGGACTCTTTGGGTAACTCTCGCCAATCAGGACGAGCCTACACGAATACATGTGGACCCCACAGTATATAAGCAGGCAGATTCCCGCCATCAGACATCTTGCACCTTCTTCAGCGAGTGGCGTTGGAGCGACAGGGTGCCTAGGTAGAGGGCTCCGCCTGTGTTTATAGAACCAGGGTTACAATGTTATAACCTTTGTTATATCTCACATGGGCTCCGCCTTCTACTGGCCTCTCTGGGTACAGTGGGTGGAGCTTGATTAATGAACACTTTGTCGTGACATAACATTGACTGATCCTGACCAGCTGAAGGTTTGTCGCCAGAGCATTTGCAAACTGAAGATCCACAAGATTAAATGATTTTATCCTCATTCAGATTCACGCTACACCAGTACTCAGCCATTCGGCCATGCTCTGTAGTAGGGCTGCCACTAACGATTATTTTCATTGTCGACTAATCTGTCAATTATTTCTTCGATTAGTCGACTAATCATTTCATCGAAAAATGTGTTAAAATGTTGAAAAATGTCGGTCTGTCTCGCCCAAACCCCAAAATTACGTCATCTAATGTCTTGTTTCGTACTCATGCCAAAGTGTTTTAGTTCACTGTCACGGGAGAGTGTGTAAAGCTGCCAATATCTGAATGTAAGAGGCTGCAATAAGAGTATTCTGGAGTACTTTTATAGTACTTTTCTATGAAAAATGACACAAACCGATTAGTCGACTACTAAAATAGTCACCGATTATTTTAATAGTCGATTAGTCATTGATTAGTCGACTAATCGTGGCAGCCCTACTCTGCAGCCAAAAGTGTTCAGAGCGACTGCTCTGTGGACCCAAAGATGCAAAAGTAACACTGATCATCAGGATAATTTAATACCATGGAAGTGATTGAGTTCATATCAGCCTCACACATTCTCCACTACTGAGCGTCCAGCAGTGATTTTGACCTGAATATTGAGATTACAGCTAAATGGAGACATTATAGCGCCCCCATCTGGAGAACTGGCGACTTGTTTCTTGAGCAGCATGTGCACACGACTTCCAATCTCTGGTGAAAATTTCATGTATCTCTGGTGTAACGTCATGGTAACTTATGAAAACATTTCTGAAGGGAAGAAGAAAAAACTGTTTCACTGGAGTTCAATGTTTCCTCTCATCAGTTTGATCAACACAGATCTTGAGACAGGGTGACGGCTGCAGGACTGTAACTTGTAGTCGAGTATTTTCACTGTGTGGTATCAGTACTTTTACTGCAGTGAAGGATCTGAATACTTCCTCCGCTGCCTCAGAGACAATACTACATCCTGTCCTTCTGTGTGTGTGTGTGTGTGTGCAGCAGAGATAGCGTGGGAGCTAGCTGCTAGCAGCTCACCACAGCTTCCTGGACGTGACAGAAATAGACTTCTGTCTCTGTTTCATTTAGAAGAGACGACAGGTCCCGCCGTCAGGTCTGACAGCCAATGGGAAGAGAGGAGAGTCCTCATACATCAATGACATCACTTCTCAAAGTGTGAAAGGAAACAGGCCACAACTTTTGATTTAACTGTTTCAGTCTCAGAATGAGACGCTAACAAGATCTCTGTTTAAAGATATCTGCTACACTGCAGATTATCTCCAGGAAGTTACAACATGAATCAATCAATTTTATTTATAAAGCCCAATATCACAAATCACAATTTGCCTCACAGGGCTTTACAGCATACGACATCCCTCTGTCCTTATGACCCTCGCAGCGGATAAGGAAAAACCCCCCAAAAAAACCCCTTTAACGGGGAAAAAAAACGGTAGAAACCTCAGGAAGAGCAACTGAGGAGGGATCCCTCTTCCAGGACGGACAGACGTGCAATAGATGTCGTACAGAACAGATCAGCATAATAAATTAACAGTAATCCATATGACACAATGAGACAGAGAGAGAGAGAGAGAGAGAGAGAGAGAGAGAGAGAGAGAGAGAGATGCAGGTAATGACAGTAGCTTACAACAACATTATTGAAAGTAATAATATTATAGTTATAGTTCTGGCTACTGTGGTACAATATGTTGAAAGTATGTATTAATATCTGGCAGTATACATGTGTGACAATAGTCATATGTGTATAATAACAGTAGAAGTATGACTAATGACTAATGATGGCAGCAGCAGCAGGAGGCATCTGGCAGGACCACGGCAGCAGCACAACCACACACGTCACGCTGTCCAGGCACCGCTGCGATATGAGTTAATCTGAGAGACAGTGGAGCACAAAGGCTCCGGAGAAGAAGCCGAGTTAGTGACATCCAGAATGGCCGAGTTAGCAAGATGCAGTAATAGGATGAGAGTGAGAGAGAGAGAGAGAGAGAGAGAGAGAGAGAGAGAGAGGGAGAGAGAGGGAGCCCGGTGTATTATAGGGGGTCCTCCGGCAGACTAGGCCTAAGTCAGCCTAACTAGGGGCTGGTACAGGGCAAGCCTGAGCCAGCCCTAACTATAAGCTTTATCAAAGAGGAAAGTCTTAAGTCTAGTCTTAAATGTGGAGACGGTGTCTGCCTCCCGGACCGTAACAGGAAGATGATTCCACAGGAGAGGAGCCTGATAGCTGAAGGCTCTGGCTCCTGATCTACTTTTGGAGACTTTAGGGACCACGAGTAACCCTGCGTTCTCAGAGCGCAGTGTTCTGGTGGGATAATATGGCACTATGAGCTCTCTAAGATATGACGGAGCTTGACCATTTAGAGCTTTATAAGTTAACAGTAGGATTTTAAATTCAATTCTGGATTTTACAGGGAGCCAGTGCAGAGAAGCTAAAACAGGAGAAATATGATCTCGTTTCTTAGTTCCTGTTAGTACACGTGCTGCTGCATTCTGAATTAGCTGGAGAGTTTTTAAGGACTTACTAGAGCTACCTGATAATAGAGAGTTACAGTAATCCAGCCTTGAGGTAACAAAAGCGTGGACCAATTTTTCTGCATCTTTTCGGGTCAGGATAGGCCTAATTTTCGCAATATTACGCAGATGAAAAAATGCAGTCCGTGAGGTTTGCTTTAAATGAGAATTAAAAGACAAATCTTGATCAAATATTACTCCGAGGTTTCTTACGGTAGTGCTAGAGGCCAGAGCAATGCCATCTAGAGAAACTATGTCATCAGATAAAGAGTCTCTGAGTTGTTTGGGGCCAAGAACAATAACTTCAGTTTTGTCTGAATTTAACATCAGGAAATTGGTGCTCATCCAATTTTTTATGTCTTTAAGGCAGTTATGGAGTTTAGTTAATTGATTACTTTCTTCTGGCTTCATCGATAAATACAACTGTGTATCATCCGCATAACAATGGAAATTTATAGAGTGATTTCTAATGATGTTACCTAAAGGAAGCATATATAGAGTAAATAGGATTGGTCCGAGCACAGAACCTTGCGGAACTCCAAAACAAACTTTGGTACGTAAGGATGATTCATTATGAACGTCAACAAACTGAAAACGATCAGATAAATAAGATTTAAACCAGCTTAGTGCAGAACCTTTTAGGCCAATTAAGTGATCCAGTCTCTGCAGTAGAATTTGATGGTCAATTGTGTCAAACGCCGCACTAAGATCTAATAAAACAAGTACAGAGACGAGTCCTTTGTCTGAAGCAATCAGAAGGTCATTTGTAATTTTAACTAGAGCTGTCTCAGTGCTATGATGCACTCTAAATCCTGACTGAAATTCCTCAAATAAATTATTATCATGGAGAAAATCACACAGCTGGTCTGCGACTACTTTCTCAAGGATCTTTGACATAAAGGGAAGATTAGATATTGGTCTATAGTTGGCTAACACCTCTGGATCCAGGGTGGGCTTTTTTAGTAGAGGTTTAATTACAGCTACCTTAAAAGACTGTGGTACATAGCCTGTTAATAAGGATATATTGATCATATCTAATATATGAGTGTTAACTAAAGGAAAGACCTCCTTAAGTAGCCTAGTTGGGATGGGGTCTAAGAGACACGTTGATGATTTAGATGAAGAAATCACTGCGGTCAATTCTTGAAGAGAAATTGGGGAGAAGCAATCTAAATATATATTAGGTCTTACAGCTGTGTTTGAGGTTAGATAGGTACTATCTGAGGACAGGAGGTCATGAATTTTGCCTCTAATAGTTAGAATTTTGTCATTAAAAAAGCTCATAAAATCATTACTGCTAAGGGCTAAAGGAATACAAGGCTCAATAGAGCTTTGACTCTCAGTCAGCCTGGCTACAGTGCTGAAAAGAAACCTGGGGTTGTTCTTATTGTCTTCTATTAATGCTGAGTAATAGTTTGCTCTGGCATTGCGGAGGCTCCTCTTATAAGTTTTGAGACTGTCTGTCCACATTAAACGAGATTCTTCCAGTTTGGTTAATCGCCAATTCCTTTCAAATTTTTGTGATATTTGTTTTAACTTACGAGTTTGAGAGTTATACCAAGGAGCGAACTTTCTTTGCTTTTTTTAACTTCTTTTTAAGAGGAGCTACAGTGTCAAGTGTTGTTTGCAGCGAGCCTACGGCGCTATCGACAAAATGATCAAAGTCGGTACAGGAAACCTCTGTTACTGAGGGACTTGGTATTGAATTTAACGACGGAGTAATCATTTCCTTAAATTTTGCGACAGCACTATCTGATAAACATCTGGTATAGTAACTGTTGCTGAGTGGCGTGTAATCGAGTAAAAAGAAATCAAAAGTAATCAGATAATGATCCGATAGCGAGGGATTCTGTGTAACTGTAATATTTCACAATAAATTATTATCACCTCACCTTTAACTGTGACATTTAACCAAATTCAGAATTTTATTGTTAAATCCATGCAGTTAAATGCAGTAAATTACAATTACATAGTGTTATATCACAGTAATGTAACAGGCTTTAACTGTAAGGTTACAGTTAAACATAATAATTTCACAGGAGCTTTGGGGTTGTCTGTATGTACTTTGTTCAAGTTT